CTGTGGCCCTGCAGCTGTATTTTAAATAAAGCTTTATTGAAATGCAGTCAAGCCTTTTTGCTTATATATTGTCTGTGGCTGCTTTCCACTGTAACAGTAGAGTTGAGTAGTTGTAACAGCCTGGATGATCTGGCAAGCCTAAAATATTTACTGTCTGACCCTGTTCACAAAAAAGTTTGTCAACTCTGATTTAAGGAACCCCAGGGTGATACAAAATTAAATAGGTTTCTTTGCCGCACGACTTGTCAGACATCACGAAGGTCCGAGAGAAGGCTATCATATATGGCAAATCCTCACATATTTGTCTAGAGGACTCCCTTTTCATGAGGCATCTTTGAGATTTTGGGGAATGCTACTGGTGACTAATCTCAGTCATTTGGTCAAGGAGAAGATGGGCTCAGAGATGAAAATTGGCCCAAGAAAGGCATGCAGCTTGTATATGGCTGCACCAGATTTCCATTCCCTGAGTTTCCCGAAGCTGTGCTGTACCATTTGCCCTTTGCCAGCTTCGGTAACAGTGACTGGTGCAGTTTCAAGAGCTCCTTTTCCTGAGGGGGTCGTCAGGGGTGGTGGCCAGAGCAGCCGTTTCGTCATTCAGCTGTCCGATTACAATGATGTTCTACAACCCTGTCTTTATGGGGCCTGTTTGTTCTTCAAACCCTAGAAGAGAAGGAAAAATCATCATACTAATAATGAATGTCAGGTTTAATCAGCATCATCTGACATTATGAGAATTGAATTTCTACCTTTCACTGCATACATTAAATATGGGGCTTTATCTCCTCGTGCAGAATTGATTTGCTATAATTCTCTCCTTTGGTTCTTGTCATGTAAATCATGGCATTTCTCCCCTATTGACTGCATGAAGCATAATCTGCAGAAGCAGATTAGAGGTGTGAATCCAGCCTCTCCTACCAGCTGCTGCTGGGCTCTTTGTCTGTCTGTCTTTCTTTTCTTATTCATGCTCTCCCTCTCTGGAATCCTCTTTGGGGCTGCTAGCTGGCCAATGGTGCCCTCAGCAAAGGGAGCCTACCGAAAGGATGGTGGTGTGGGAGCTGAGCAGATAGGTTGTGTGGAAGTCTGGAGACCTCAGCCATGGGATCTCCAGCTCCTGCAGTATAGACTGGTGAACGAATCAGTAATTTGTAGAGATGGGCCATAGGGCCATTTGCAATTCTTGGTACACTACTGAATCAAACCACCAGTATCCTCAAGAGTGCTGCACTTTCAAATATTCCCCAAGGGGCCCTGGTAAATCTGTAGTTCCTGGCATCTGTAACTGGGTGGGTAAGGACAGAGGTGGCTTCTGGCTGATAGAAGAGCCAGGAGCCAGGTGGGGACCTGGCCCCTGGGCTGGGCATATGAACCGTGGCTTGCAAACCAGCCCAAAGTTTAGTGGGAAGGAACGAGTTCTTGCAAGGGCTATCTCTGACACATAGGCTGTATCACTTAGTGGGACTTCAAATGTGGATGTCTGTACCACTCCTCTGTAAAGCCCTGAAGCCTCATTTTTATCTTGTGACTATTTATTGCTAAATACATAAGCTATATTTCAAAAAGACCTGGGTTCAAGTTCTGTATTTTCCCCTTATTAATTGGGTGACCCTGGGTAAATTACTTAACCCCTCTAAACTTCTGTTTTACCGTCTACAAAATGAGGTCATAGCAATAGCCTCGTCTGTGAACTTATTTGGAAGATTAAATGAAATAAATCATGTGAAGCATTTAGAACTGTGCCTGGCACATAATAATATTCGTCAATACAAAGAGGCTGCTCTTAAGGATAAATTTTTATTCTATGCCAGGTGTGTCTTAAGACATAACTTGTGGTAGACTTTGGCATGTCTACCAATGTACTTAAAGGCCATTGAATATCAACAGTGGGTCTCAGGGGTATCTCACAAAGGGTGAGTGGGGCAAGAAAGAATCTACCACTTCCTGAACATTTACTGAACACCAGGCACTTTAATAGTAAAAGGTCAATGATGGGTGGTTTCCATAATATCACTGATAGCATGTCCCGTAGTCTTGCTGTCAAAGACAGAATCCTGAGCAAATAATCAAGAGATCTGGTGGAAAATTCTTTTTTTTTTTAATTTATTTATTTCTAGGAGAGAGAGAGAGAGAAACAGCGTGAGCAGGGGAGGGTCAGAGAGAGAGGGAGTCACAGACTCTGAAACAGGCTCCAGGCTCTGAGCTGGCAGTCAGCACAGAGCCCGACGTGGGGCTCGAACCCACGAACCGCGAGATCCTGACCTAAGCGAAAGTCAGACGCTTAACCGACTAAGCCACCCAGGCGCCCCTGGTGGAAAATTCTTAATGCTTTCTCTAGAGAAAGATAATTTAAAAAGAAAAGTACAAGTTACATTTGTAATTTTAAATTCATCATTCATTTATTGAGAGCTTGCTATGTGCAAGCACTCTGCCCAGAACTTTACTGTAATCTAATTATATTTCACAACAACCCCAGAGGCAAGTGCCATTATCATTCCCATTTTATAGATGATGAAACTAAAGGCCCTCTACCTAGTCACTGGAAAGAGGAAGACATCAGCTTCAGAATCAACTCCAAGTTGAATTTCCCTATAAGCTCTCTGCTGCTCTGTGGTTAGCCTCCCGGTTCTGTAGGAAGCCTCCAGGCATGAGATGCGCTGCTGAATGAGTATCCTATTACCTGGGCTGTCTCCATCTAAACTCAGCTGTCCTGGGCAGAATGAAAGTCTCTGGGGACCCCTGGGTTATTGTTGCCTGTGGAAGAAGAAGGCAGCTTTCCCCAAGTGAAGCCATGGCCAAAGCAATGCTTACAGATACATGTAAACTCACTGTAGATGGAGGTTGCAGGCAGTAGTGATAATGGGGGAAGGTTGATGTGAGCCACTCTGACCACTCAGCACAGCCCGCTCTGGCAGCCTTTGCAAGCCAGGATACCTGGCACAGGCCAGGCAAGGTCCTGAGAGGCTAAGGAGTCAGCCTGAGCTGGCCAAGTGGCCAGTGACCTGGACTTACTGTCAGGATGCCTGAGCGATACCCAGCACACCTTTGTGCTATTCATCACAGGGTAATGGGTGTTCTTTTTGAGGCAGGGGTGCCTGCTTCAGCCTCTCCCTTCATGCAGACTCCACAGTCACATGTTCACACATGTGAGTATGCGTGTGTGTGAGCACGTACATGTGTTTGGGCATTCTTGGGGAGGGGCTGATGCCTGGGCAGCAGCTAACGTTCCCACCATGCCTCTCGTTGCCCCTGTGCACCATCACTTGGCCCCATACCTCCATCCTCACACAAACAGCAGCTTCCATTTACTGAGCCCCACTTACTGTGTACCAGGCATTGTGCAAGGCTTTGAGCCTGTCCTCCGATTCAGTCAGACCCTCAAACACCTGTTGTAGGCAAGTGAGGACTGCAATTCTACTGGGTCTTTCAGAAGCAAAGCTGGAAGCACAGAGAGGCCAAGTAACTTGCCCAGGAAGGAACAGAGCCAGAACTCAAATCAACTTCTTGACTCTGAAGCCCCAGTGTTTTACTCAGGAGGTCTTATCCACAGCGTTCCACCCCTGTGGGTGTTACGGACCATTGGGAGATGGGCTTCAAGTACTCTATTGCTAAATAAAGTACTGTCTCTTTTGCCTCTTGAGTCTAGTTATACTGATCTCCCTCTCCTCCCTGTGCCTCATGACCTTGGATTTGTGACTGCTCTTCACATATACTCACTCACTCACTCACTCACTCAGAGAATGAGTATATTACCTAAAGGCTCTTTCCTTCAAACCATGCTGTCTCCTGCTTCGAGAGACTGGGGGTACTTTGGGTTCACTTACCTCCTCAGCATCCTCAGATACTGGTCCAACCACTTCTGTACCCCTCTGATGACAGGGAGGTCACTGCTGGCTCCGCTATTGCAAAGCCCTGGCTGTTAGAAAGCATCTCTTTCTAGAGAGCCATCATAGTGCCCAGGAAAGCCTTGCCCCAGATGAGCAGTTTAACTGACTGGTGTTTTTCTGTGTGGAGGAAGGGACATTTTAGCTCTTGACCCCGAGAAGCCTTTACTTGGACCCTAAAGTCTGTTCTTTTAGACCTTAGGCTGTGATTGCTCCCTCTTCCCACAGGGATCCAGGGATCGCTGGATCCCTTTGGGGGAATTTCTGGCTTCTGGTCTTTCTTTCCCAGAGGGAGGTGGCAATAGACTTTGTCCAGCCTGACCCCACCCCCTCCCTCATCAGCCTGCCAGCACCTGAACCCCCCAGCCCACACCCATTCTAGCCACCCAGCTGCCAGCTGCTGGGGTCAGGCAGGCAAAAGGCTGATGGATGAGCCAGCAGGTGTAAGGAAAACCTCTCAGTGTTGAATGTCTGGCAGCTGGCACAGGGCTGGCTTTTCTCTGCCTGCTCTCCTGCCCACCTTCCTGACCCACCCAGCACCCTTCTAGAGAGGTAGGGGAGGGGGCTTCCATATGGGCTGATGGGATAGCTGTGCTTGAAAGGCCAAGAGAAGTCACTGCTTCTTGGGATGGCTTTGGTCCTTCCTGGGCACTAGGGGCTCAGGCTGAAAATTCAGTTGCTTGATTCCCCATTTCAGCTCTATCCTAGAACTTATCACAGGCAACATCCATGGACCCCTCTGTAAATCAGCATTAAACAAAGCACAGGCCTGGGATTCCAGAGTCCCAGGATCCTTACTTTGCTATACACTTGCTATATGACCTTGGGCAAGTCACTTCCCCTGCTTGGGTGCTGATCTTTCCATCCACAAAGGGCTTGTGTGGATTTCTGGAGGAGCCTGGAGGCCAGGTGATACCCAAGGCTCTGGTCCTGACTTTTCACCGCCAGAACCTGCTGACTTGAGATTTCCCCTGGGTGGTCAAGTTCAAGTGGGAAGTGAAAGAATAGAGGAAAATAAGGTCACTTCATCCATCTCTGCCCTCCATTCTTCCTGGGATCAGACCACTAGAATGTTACCAGCATATAGGGCATGATGTGGGAGACACTGGAAGGCCCATCCACCTCTGAATATCTTTTCCACCCCTGTTAATTCAACAACTGCAGTCACTCTTTTGGGAACACTGGTATCCAGAAGTCACCTGTCAACATTTAAATACAGTATCTTGGAAGTGAATTGAATAAACTCATTTCCACCCATTAACTCCTGACAGACTAAATTTGTTTCCTGTGAAGCAGATTCTTGAAGGAGCACATGGGTAGAATGAATTTTGATATGGGAGAATCTATCAAGGGAAAGGAAGGAAGGGAGGGAGGGAGTAAGAAAGGAGGGAAGGAAGGAGGAAGGGAAAGAAGAAGGAAGGAAGGAAGGAGGAAGGAAGGAAGGAAGGAAGGAAGGAAGGAAGGAAGGAAGGAAGGAAGGAAGGAAGGAAGGAAGGAACAGAGGCAGGGAGGGAGGAAAAGAGAAAGAAATGGTGTCAGCAGGGCAGAGGATGGCTTCAAATGTTAAGGCGCAGAGTGTCCAGGGGTGGGATGCTATGGGTGGAGGTGCCTTGGCGGAAACATGGCCTGGCTCCTAACTATGGCAGCAGTAGGCCCCATGGCATTGCATTAGGCAGGGTGGGCCTGCTTCAGGCTGCAGGGCTGGGAAAAGGAACCTGAAAAACCCCCTTTATCACGTGCCTCAACTTGACCCAGCTGTGGAAGCTTGGCACGGCCCACTTCTCTGAGTGGGGGGAGCTTTGCAGCCCATCAGGAGTGGGGTACGGCAAAAGCACCTCTCGCAGTAGGCTTGCCCAAGAGGCACAAAATAACCTTCCTCTGATGTTTGCCCCAAGGAGCCTCTGGGGTGTGAGGTGAACCCGGCAAAAATGGGTGCTTTCAGAATAGCTGTGGGTGGAGTTGGGGGCGGCTGCCTAGGAGCAGGGAAGGTTTCCATGCACCCATTTCTAATCTCCCCCGGGCCCCTGTGCCTCTGAAGCCGCTGGCTAATGGGCTCCCCCACTATTCTCAGTCCTCAGTTCTTTCTGTCTCACCCGCCCTCCCCACCTTTCATCCTACAAGACTCGGCTCAGGCGCTTTTCTCTGAAGCCTCCTGTGAGTGAGTGAATGAAGGAATGAATGTGGATAGTCCCTCAGATCTAGAACCATCCTCGATCTATCAAAGAACTCTCTAGGATCCTTGAGTCAGTGCTCTGCACTCCCAGAGATTCCAGAGGCCCCACAGGATGCCCAGGGAAAATGGCAATCAATTAGCTGCACTGAGAGGGTAATCAGGATTGGGGTGGACCCGCCCTACCCAGAGTGGCCTTGGGCTCAAAGACCAAAGGATAGGGCCTAGGCGCATTACCTGGGTAAGTCGCTTCTCCTTCTGGGTGCCTTTGTCTGGAAAATGCCTAGAGGGCAGGTGTAATGCTCCTGGAGTCTAGATCCTGAAGAGAGAGGTTGGCTCAGTAGTTTTAAAACGCAAAGACTTGGGGCGCCTGGGTGGCTCAGTTGGTTAAGAGTCTGACTTTGACTCCATTATGATCTCACGGTTTGTGGGTTTGAGCCCCTTGTTAGACTCTGTGCTGACAGCTCAGAGCCTGGAGCCTGCTTTGGATACTGTGTCTCCCTCCCTCTCTGCCCCTTTGCCACTAGTATTGTGTTTTTCTCTTGCGTGCACTCAAAAAAAGAAATAAACATTAAAAAAATATTTAAATGCAAAGACTTGACACTTGCAAGGTCACCCAGAAGTGACGCCGTCAATTCAGTGCTGAAAGGCATTCCTGTTTAAAATTTTCTTCCTAAGGAAAAGAAACCACTTTGGAAAATGGGAAATGGAGATAGTGCTTTGCCATACGTAGCTTCTGGCTTGTTCCTAATGACCCCTGCCTTCTAGAATTCACTCCCTTGTGTGGCCCCCTCCCCCAGAGAATTGTTTTTAGAAAATAGAATATGGCAGTGATGTAGAGATGTCACATTCATGTCAGGTTACAAAAGACTGTGACCTCTGTCTTGCTAGATTCCCTCTATTGGCTTCTCAGCTTCCTTGCTTCGATGAAGCACACTGGCAGTTGAAAAGGTTCAAGTGGTAAGAACTGGGAGGAGCCTCTGGCCAACAGCTGGTGAGATACTAAGGCCCTTAGTCCAACTGTGTTCAAGGAACTGAATCATGCCAACAACCATGTGCATGAATTTGGAAGCACATTCTTCCCCAATTGACCGTTGGCACGACTCTACCCCAGGTAGCACCTGGATCCAAGCCTGTAAGAGACACTGCAGTAGAGGATCCAGTTTAACTGTGCCTGGATTACCGACCCATAGAAATTGCTGCTCCAAGCCACAAAGCTTGGGGACAATTTGTTACAGAACAGGTAACTTCTACATGCCCCCAGAGTTTTAGGGAGCCGTGGCTGGAAGCCCTAAGAAATGGAGATATCCTAAAAATTAGGAAGTTCCTTCTCCAACTTCAGAGAAGTAAGGAGAACACCAGGTGCTGACACTAAGTGATCTCAGACATGGCATCGCCCCTCCCCTGCTTCAGTTTCGCCATGTGTCAGAGAGGGGGTTGGGTTAGCACGATGACCTTAATGAGTCACAAGTTCAAGATTTCAGGGAACGCTGCCTTGCTCCACCTTAGTAATTTTGCCTCCTGTATCTGTCAATTGAAAAGATACAAGCGACAAAAATGAGTCTAAATACAGTGATGCTTTAACCCAGTTTATTAGTCACATTAGTCTTCTATACGTGTGAGGATTTCTCATCCCTTTTACTGATTCAACCTGTAGTCATTGCTGGGTGGGGAATGGCTCTAGATGGAAGATGTTCTCTTTGAGAAAAACTAAGAAAGGACTCAGTGGCACAGATATACAGGTGGCAGAGTAAAGGATGGGGGTGGGGGACATTGGGGGTCACATCCCAGGTCTGCTCCTTCCCAACCGTGTGTCACTTCATCATCTCTGAAGCGGAAATCGTAACACTCGCCCCACAGTGTTGGGCTGAGAATTAAATTAGGTAACATACAGAACTAGCAGCTGGTTAGTACTACTAATGACTCAAATAAACAAGCATTTACCTTTTAATCATTATTGACATACTAATGTACAAATGGCTGCCATTTATTGAGTGTTTACTATGAGCAATTCCTGGGGCCAAACTCTTGGCATAGCATTTCAGATGCCAACTTACAGAACTTCCAGTCTAGCGGGTGGCCCTGCCTGTTGTCATCCCTTGGGGGTTGAGAGAGAGAGAGAGAGACGAGCTTTTTGCCCCGAGATGCTTTGGCTCACTTGGGCAGGCCACCCTCTCTCAAGGACATCGAGGTGTCTGCTCTCAGGACTCTGTCACACAGTTGAGACTTTCTTGGGTCCAGAATCCTGCATCTATTCTGCTCTCCAAGGGTCTGCTTTTCCCTAGGCAGAGTTGGTCATGTCCAAAAAGCTCCCCTGCCCAACAGAGGTAATGAGACTGTCTCAGCTAAGGATAAGTATCTCTGGCCAAGATCCAAGGCCCCCACCCCTTCCCCAGAGACCTGTACCTTAGGGTGAAACTCTGCCTGCAAATCACCCAAACCCTAGGACTCAGCAATAGTGCCTTAAGCCCGTGTAGGGGTGGGCAGGGAAGGAGGGTGTTCTATAGTCTGAAAATCCTGGTGCCTCTCTCCCTCTACTGTCACTTCTAATAATAGTTTCTTTGAAAAGAAAGCAAGACTCTGCATTATGACATGGAAAAGGCAGAGACTCTGGTCCTAAGTACAGTAGTGTTTAATTCTAGCTTCCCTGGTCACAGGCTGTTTGAGTAGCATTTGCCACTTTTCTCTCAATCCTTCATTCGTGGATGACAGTCTAGTCCCAGTCTTGCAGGAGGGCACTTTGAGAGGCCAAGCAGCAGCTTGGATGCCAGGAGTTAAAATGAGATGCACAGAGTAGGTGCTCAATACGTGATGGGGAACCCCCTGAGCCCGATTCCCAACTTTGCCCTGGGAGATCAGAGGTGATACGAGCACTATCTTGGGGAGTGTTGGAATGCACTAGGTACGGGAGAAGGGTTAACTAGCATGGTTATGATAGTTCTTACAAAGATAGCTCTCCTCTCCGAGTTCATGCCTGACATCTCAGCCCACGATTCTCCCGCTGCCTCTTGAAAAGGACACTGGCATGGGATCTACAGGGAGGCTGGAAGATACTTTGTTTTTTTGTTTTTTTTCCGCCACAGCTCCACCAGAGCTCCAGTATTTAGCTGGGTGTGTAGTCCCACTCTGAGAAACACTATACTTCCCAGCTTCCTTTACAGCTAACTGTGGACATGTTACTAAGTTTATTAAGTTATAAATCAGCAGGTATTTAAAGAGATGGGCCACACTGTTCTTTGTCACTTCCTCTATCCAGCTGCCTGGAACTTGGCTGTGATGACTGTAGCTCTTACAGCCATCTTGGACTATGAGGATAAATGCCACACCCTAAGGAGGGCGGAAGGTAAGGTAGACGGAGCCTGACTCCCTCATGTGCCACCATACAATGTCTGTCTTCAGACTTCTTTATATAAGAATAAACCTCTGCCTCATTTAAACCAGTGCTGTTTTTACTTTCTCAGTTGTATTTAGCAAAAGCTCATCCCAATGGATACAGATAGTAGAGCTCTCTTCCAAAAGGGTTAAAAACCCTGTCTTCCAGGAATTTATCCAAAGGGTATAATTAGATAATGCATAATGTCATGTGCAAAAAGATATTCAGTATAATTAGTTTTTATTATTGCACGAGAAATGGATACGACCTACATTTCCGCTAGTAATGGAGAGGTTAGCTGGAACATGGTACATAACAGAGCAGGGGCTGAGAGTTAAGGATGTGGAATCTGAAGTTAGAGACCCGAGTCTGAGCCTCACCTTGGCCGCTTACCAGCTCTGCGACTGGAGCCACTTCCGCTTCACCTCTGTGCGTTGTTTCCTTACCGACGAAGCAGGCTGAGGATAATAGCGTGGGCCTATAATGTTGTTAGGAGGATAAAATAAAATAAGGTGTGTAGAGCACTTAGCATAATGCCTAGCTCAGTGCAATTACTGTGAAAGCTAGCAATCTTTCTCCCCTCTGTCTTCCCCTCCTCCCTCCTGTTCTTCCCCTCCCCCACTCTCTTTCTCCTCCAGTAGGATCGTACCCTGGACTAGAGGTAGCAGCATCATCGTCATCACTACTAACACAATAAAGATGATCAAAAGATACGTTAGTAGAAACTAGAAAGCACATTGCACACGTATTTGCACAGCATGATTCTGGAAGTTCGGATGTATCAGGTGGGAAACGCACCGGCCATACTTATCTCGAAGATGTGGATTTTAGTAATTTTACCTTGTTCTGTAAGCCTCTCTGTACTGTCTACATTATGGCAACGGATATGAAATATTCTCATAATTTACCATTAAACATAACATTATGTCCCTTTCATAAAAGCTCTAGGCATCCCTGAGCTGCCCCCAGCCTTGGAGTGGCTCATTCTGTAGGGAGCTGGTGGCTAGGAGCCCCCACGTTCAGCCCTCTCTGGCCAGACGGAGTGTCGTAGGACAGGGGCAGGGATGTCGGAGAGACCCGGCTCTAGGTAGAGCTACCAGGGAAAACTGCTCCCTTCCCCGTCATCCCTCCCGAGCATTTCCTTCCGGCCTCTTCTTTGACCTGGAGGAAGGCCTCCTGCACCTCGTGAATGCCAGCAAGAGAGTGGCGTCCAGTTCTCTGTTCTCTATGGCGAAGAAGAGTTATTTGCTTGAAAAAACATGCAGGGAAGCAAGCACGACATTAGCCCCCTAAGCCTCATGCACTTAGTTCATGTGCTGTGTACTTTGCAAATCCTCTGAGTAGAGAATCGTTGTATCTCCCCCCTGGCTGGGCCCGCAGCTGCGTGCTGACAGATGCCAGCCTGGCCCCTGCAGACCCGGCAGGTGGCCTCTGGGACACGGGCCCCGGCACACCAGTCGCTGACCCGGGTGCTGTGGTGTGTCGGTGCCTGGTTTGAGTGCCCTGGAGAACAGGAGACAAGACAGCTCAGGGAGGTTGAGCAGGGCGGTGGAGGGGCCCAGGCGGGTCACTGAGACAGGAGCACCCACCAACTGGGGGCTTCCTGTTACACGTCGTTATTCACTGACGTCCAAGGGACTCAGGCCAGGCCCCCTGGGATCTCTGAAGTGTTGGCTCCCAGGTGACAACAGCTTGCTCCTAGGTTGGTATTCTTCCTAGGCTCCACACCTTTCTTCTTTGAGCTACCATGTACTGGTACTTCCCATACACTTAATCAATATGTGCTCTTAATCAATGTGACTTAATGCTGATACATCATTTAATCCTCATACCTCCCTATAAAGTGGTCCCCATTTTACAGATGAGGAAAGTTAAGGCTCGGAGAGGTAACACCACACAGACCATTAGTAGCTGGGCCGGTGTGTGAACCCCGATGCGTCTGTTTG